GCACCAATGTTTCGCCAGTGAGTTGTATAATCTACACACCTGGAACGGCCTTGGTGTGTTTGTTGTTTGACGCCGCACTCAGCAATATTCCGGCTATATGACGGCAGTCGGTAATTACTCGAGTCTGGACCAGACAATCCAGTGCCTGACATCATGAGCATCTATCTACGTAATTGGGATACGATGACATGCATTAACCAAGTCAGCGAGCCTGACCACCCGATCCCGTTAGTCGCCTTTCACTACAAGCATAGTCGCCTTTTACGGCAAGCATGGGTTGCTGAAAACCTATGCTACCCCGGAATCTTCGCGTGTCCAAGGTCTTGGAAGAACAATTTGTATTGACAAAGGTTTAAATGACTGAACAGAAGTTAATCACTTACTTTTACTTATGATTTATTTATTTTGTATACACCGAAGTCAGTCAAACAATATCACGACAGGCTATGCCTGGCCAGATTATCACGTGGACGATAGCTTGAGCAACACCCTAAGTCGTTGGGGTACGATGACTCGAAACCAACCGAATTACCGAGACTGACAATAGAGTGTCAGGGTATTTTTATGAAGCTATGAGGCTACAATGTACACTGATATTATTAGTGTTGATCCGTATGTATATCAATATTATCAGTGGTGGAAATATCATACTGATGATGTCGAAATATCAAAGTAGCCTTCAGTTACCGATTCTCTGTTATGACATAAAACGCCTTAATTTCTTTACGCATGCATAGCACGTTGTCCGCCTATGTGAAAGAGGATGGTGAAAACAGTTTGATCACCTGTCTCCCCCGAGAGACGCAATATAGGCTACATCTGATCTTGAGGCGAGTTTTTAAAGCGTTCTTCCAGGGTTTTGCCAATAGATATACTAGAGGGAAGGGAATGAATGATGTTTTACGTCAAACTTAGAAATATCACGATGGCTGTAAATCGAGAGAGCATTAGGCATTTCCTTGGCTGAAAGCACAACAAACGACTAAAAATGACCAACAATCAGTCATACCACATATTGTGGCCACTGGACTTTCATTTGAAAAGAATGGTGTGCAGCTGACCTATACTGACCCGTAACCTGGATTAAATCGCATGCACAGCTGGACAATTGAAATTTAACAAAGGTTTCTCGATATTCGTGAAAGAAATACTATCAACTCACCGATGTCCGCGACGATCCAGCAATACACATATCCATTGCGTTTGATCGGAATACAGCACGTTTCTAAATGTAAATCCCCGCTTATGAATTCAAATACCAATCTGAAAACTGAAGTTCATCAACGACCCTAATCTTTGTATCCTATCATTCAACATCATTGGTCAATATAAATTTTGACAGAAATATTGTGACGAAACCTTTACAACACTGTAGAAGTTAATCTGCCTCTGTAGACCCTGTGCCTGGACGGTGATTTAATTAACATTGTGACCTGTCGCCACTGTAGGCGTTGTGGTTGCAACATCGTTGCAGAGAGAATATTGTTGCACATGAAATAATACAAAGATGCAAATTAATGTAGCACTCGTTGACCTTCGCTAGGACGGTGTGATTTTACAAGAGGGTTGTGTTGTACGTTTGTCACGTTTCGGAGGTAGCAGAAAGTGATTCCTGTATATGATGTGAGCTTTGACATAACTTGTTTCGTTGTGAAAATTTAATTGCTACTTCATTCTGAAATACATTAATAAAATGTTGTGCAGTCTGTGCATATTTTGTTATCGTAGATCTAAGTATATTAGAATCTAATGAATGCGTATAATAATCCTCTTTGGGGCATTTCCAACGTTTGTTTGTTTGTTGTTTAACGCCGCACTCAGCAATATTCCAGCTACATGACGACGGTCTGTAAATAATCGAGTCTGGGCCTGACAATCCAGTGGTTGACATCATGAACATCGATCCACACAACTGGGATCAATGACATGCATCAACTAAGTCAGCGAGCCTGACCACCAGATCCCGTTAACCGACCCTTACGACAAGCATAGTCGTCTTTTACGGGTATTTCCAACGACGACGATGATGATGGTGATGATGATGATGATGAAGACAATTTCTTTCCAACAGAAAATCTTTCCTTATCAGAATCAATTATCACAATATGGTCATCCCCTATATCGGAGTTGGACCATATTTGAAGCAACGCTGCAGTATTGTAGATCAAAGCTACACCAGATCGTGTAAATGCCTTCACACATCGTTCACCACAAGGGGGCGCTATAGTTTCTACTAGCCGACCAAACCACCTGTAGCCGAGGCGGACTTTGATGTCACTTACTGGACACTTTGCGGTAATTACCACGTTCATGTAGACGTATAGCTGGAGCTGACGGTGTTGATAATCGACGACGCGATAATCAAACCATAATTACATTACGTTGGTGAACATCATTTTTTTAACACGTATAGGATTCAATCCACGTAGCACTTCGAGCCTGAGAAATTTTCATATTTCATACTTTATCTTTCAATTGCATTTAGTTGTTTGTTGTGTATAACGCCGTGTGCACTCAACAATATTAGAACTATATGATGGCGGTCTGTAAATAATCGAGTCTGGAACAGACAATCCAGTGATCGACATCATAAGCATTGATCCACGCAGTTGGGATCGATGACATGCATCAACCAAGTCAGCGAGTCTGACCTCCCGATCCCGTTAGTCGCCTCTTACGACAAGCATAGTCGCCTTTTACGGCAAGCATGGGTTGCTGAAAACCTATTCTAACCCGAATCTTCACGGGTCCAATGGCATTTAGAAGCCACGGTAATACATGAAGTCAGGATTGACTTATTAAAGCAAGCTGATTTGCCTGAATATAGCATAAAAAATATATCCACCAAACGTCGCATCAAAGAATGAAACAGAAGTTGGCACGTACATCCCAGTCAAACCCGTCAATTCAAGTCAATTCATTGAAATTTTGAAAAAGCGAAATGATATTTGCAATGTCACGTTGGATTGGAACATATCTACATGCAAATTTTGTAATCACCAGTTTATATGTGTTTTACTTTCGATTTCTAAGAGAAAAAAAGAAACATTGGACGAAAATGTCAAAGACGTCACTCTTAACTTTTAGCCTGTTTAAGAAGTTAATGGTAGATAATCTCTCTATATTTACACCTTACACACGTGGACAATAGCATTCTTTGTGATTGTATCATCAGTATATACTCTTACACAATATATTTCAGCGGGAGCTTGACACCAAATCTACACGCTTGCAGGGCACTGTAGGCGAAAAATTGATCGCATATGGCGGCCATCTTGAATTTCAAGGGAATTATCGTCGATCAAAGATCGGAAAAATCGTGCAAATTGATATCTCACTGATCCGCTAGGGGGCGCCAGGGAACATCAAAGTCCTCGCGTCACACTTGTTGATGCATTTAACACTAACGCGCATGTGTTTGCACGTTACCGCAATTAGCCCCTTAACGGATGACTATCTGATCAAAGTATTTATCGCCGCTTGATTAAAAGTGATAATTAATCTAATATTCGGTGATACAAGGAACGGGATTGTGACGAAACCTGCATGCATGCCCTAAGAAGACATAGTTAACATGAACACCCACTGGAGAATATGGGGCAATTTTCAACGGGAATATATGTTGTATTTTAAAATATTTGTGTAGCCTTATTTTTCAAATGATTAATAGCTTTGATTTCTGCTGTATATAGATACTCCATAATTATGATAAATACTATTAAAAAAAAGAGATTTACTCTTTTAAATCATCTTGGACGCCAGGGTCTATTTGTGGCCAGGTTCAGTTGTGGATTGGCTGTACAATGGGTTGGGAAGCAGTCATTTCTTCATCGATCTTTGATTATTCTCGATATGTCCCAACTGATCAATTATCGATGATATATAAGTGACTGGTTCTTTATTCTGGAATAACAAGTCCAACTTTAACTTGGATTTGATTAAAACTATAGAATTTGTATGTGAAAATTGCTGGTTGTTTTCCTAAGGTAACTGCGGTTGTATCTTATCATGTAGGTACAGAAGGGCTGGGACGGGTAACTCGGGTACTCGGGTACTCGGATACTCGGGTCGGGTGGGTACTTAGTAGGACCCGGGTACCCACAGGACTACCCGGACCCGTGGTTAGTCACGTAATATAGTGTTTAATGACAAAAATTATCTCAAAATCTATGGTTACACTATAAGTCACTAATGTTCCCATTTCTCTCTGACAATGCACCCATTCCTTCTGACTTTTATATATTTGAGTAAAGATAAAACTTCATGCAGTTAACTTCAGTGTATTCATGTGACCAGATCGTTGTACAAGTGTATCTAAATACATTTTGCCAGGGCTACGGTCAAACTTTTCCAAATCGGACAGTTTGTGCCTATCTCTTAATATCTACAGCGGGTACCCGGGTAGGGTTGGGGAATAGGGTAGTGGGTAACCGGGTAGTAAATTTGGACTCGTCCAAGCCCTAGTACAGATTATGAATGATTTAACATTCAAAATAAACAGATGCCACTGTATTTCTGTACACTTGAGTGCAAGAAGGATTTTGGTCATGTTTTGATCAATAATTAAGTTCATTCCTGCATGAACTACACTTGGAAAATATCGAATGCACATGGATATATTTTTCCTTTAATTTGTTTCCATGAGAAACCCAGAACCGAGATCCATGCATCCATTTCATTCGTCTGATCGTCATTTCGAGATCAAACAATCTCCTTACGTCACAGACGGTCTCCTGTTCCTCGCCATATTGGAATCCAGACATGAACCAGCCACGGTCGCAGGTGCCTCTACGGCGGTAGGAGCGTGCACATCTGCACATTACATATCAAAGACGGTGACCAACATGGGCGCAGCCTATGTGCGAACGTGCACACGATAGTGCAATTAGTATGTGCATGTATAGTGCTTTGATGGAGATGAATACACTTGATATCGAGAGTTTGTAATTACAATCTCCTCAACAGGTGACGAGTCATGTGGACAAAGTAGGTTGGTTTCATAACGGACCTAACTATTAATATGACGTCCAACACCCTGTTATATATGGATGACCGGGAATCGGTCCAGAGATGAAGTATTGTGCTCGGGCGACCGAGTTGTACCAGAAAAAGTCGTCTTCTTTACATGTATATGTGAAAATAGAATGTAAACTCCAAACGGATGCCAGAACAATGATGAGTTAATCTGGAATTGCAAATCAACTGACAACTACACGTTCAGTCATCCAAAAGGTATGACAGTTGGCAATTTATAAATAATTATCTACTCGAAGTTTGAAGGATGTTTATCTGGTACTCTTCATGTACCGTCCTGTACCGCTCATGTACCCTTCATGTACCGTTCTGTACGCTTCATGTACCGTCCTGTATCCCTCATATTCTGCTCTGTACCCCTCATATACCGTTCTGTACCTCATATACCGTTCTGTACCTCATGTACCGTTCTGTACCCCTTATGTACCGTTCTGTACCCTTCATGTACCGTTCTGTACCCCTCATGTACCGTTCTGTACCCCTCATGTACCGTTCTGTACCCCTCGTGTACCGTTATGTACCCTTCATGTACCCTTCTGTACCCCTCGTGTACCGTTCTGTGCCCTCATGTACCCTTCTGTACCCTTCATGTACCCTTCTGTACCCCTCATGTACCGTTCTGTACCCTTCATGTACCTTTCTGTACCCTTCATATACCGTTCTGTACCCCTAGTGTCTCGTTCTGTACCCTTATGTACTCTTCGCGTACCGTTCTGTACCCTTCATGTACCGTTCTGTACCCTCATGTACCGTTCTGTACCCTTATGTACCGTTCTGTACCCTCATGGAGCGTCCTGTACCGCTCATGTACCGTTCTGTACCATTCATGTACCGTTCTGTACCCTTCATGTACCGTTCTGTACCATTCATGTACCGTTCTGTACCCGTATGTGCCCTTCGCGTACCGTTCTGTACCCTTCATGTACCGTCCTGTACCGCTCATGTTCCGTTCTGTACCCCTCATGTACCGTTCTGTACCCTCGTGTACCGTTCTGTACCCCCCGTGTACCGTTCTGTACCCCTCAGGTACCCTTCTGCATGTCTCATGTCTCGTACCGTTCTTTGCTTCATGTTCCGTACTGTACCCTTCTTGTACCGTTCTGTACCCCTCGTGTACCGTTATGTACCCCTTATGTACCCTCATGTACCCTTCTGTATGTCTCATGTCTCGTACCGTTCTTTGCTTCATGTTCCATTCTGTACCCTTCATGTACCAGTACAGTGTCAGTCAGTGGAGGGAGGGTGGATGCAGCAGTATAGATGTATACAGTATATATTCAGAGATATCTAACGCGTTATTATTAGACTAACTAACTATGAACTCTTTTCTTACACAATACGTGTCTGATTTCATATGTAGAATAGAGCAGGCTAGATTTTATTCTATATAATTCTAGATTGGTATATTTTCATGAAATACACATATTCCACAGTCATGGTGAAGGACTATATTTTTATATCTAGTACTCAAAAGAATATAAGGAATTCATGATTCTTTGGCTTCACAGATTAACTATAGTAATAGGAAAGAATGAGGTGTTCTCAACTTCTTTTGAGTAATATATACCTCTGGTTTACGTGGCAACGCCTGCTTGGCGTCTATGTGTAGGTGAAACATGTTCTAAATGGACACCATTGTGCGTCTGTTGCAGCTACAGCAGGAAAGTGAGAGGAAGTGATATCGACACAATTCTGATATTAGCGTCGGTCTCATCAGTCAGGATATGACGTCAGAGAGAAGGACAGAATGGAAGGGATTGTTTAACATTGGTTGAGCCATACAACTCTACATGTAATTGATCAGTGATGGGTGTGTGTGTTTGTGCGTGTGCGTGTTTGTTGTGTCACGTACCCTGCAATATACAAATACGCTACCCTTAATACTCAGTATCCAGATTGCTAAAATAAGAGCCACAAATCATAGATTACCAATAGAAAAGGGGCGATGGGAAAATATACCACGAGAAGACAGAATTTATAGTCACTGTAATAAACATGACTTAGCTGACGAATATCACTATCTACTAATATGTCCTTTTCTGCATAACTTGCGTAAGCAATATATTCAAAAGAAGTACTTTACAAGAATACTTTACAAGACCTAGTACGATAACACTTGATATGCTACTAAATACTGAAAGTTTATTAGAACAAAGAAAACTAGCACAGTTTGTAAAAAAAATCCTCAAGATGTTTAATTAAATTTGTGAGTCTGTTGCGGTTAAACGTATAGTTGACGCACGTCTGTCTCATGCCTCGTGTCACCATAAATCTCCATTTGTACCTTCAATATGTCATAGCTATGACCTTGAAGCGAAATAAACGTTTGTTGTTGTTGTTGTTGTTGTTGTCGGACTGTGAATAAAAAAGTCGGGACCTGACAATCCAGTGATTAACATAATGAGCAACAATCAACACCGTCGGGTAACGTTGGCGTGACATCAATCAAATCACCGACCACCCGATCCAATTAGTCGCCACGTTCGACCGGCTGGGGAATCCCCACCGGGTGTACGTGGAGTGAGTGAGGGAATGAGGGAGGGAGGGAATGAGTGAGGTGAGCGAGTGAGGTTTACGCCGCTTTTAGCAATATTCCAGCAATATCACGGCAGGGGACACCAGAAATGGGCTTCACAAATTGAACCCATGTCGAAAATCGAACCCGGGTCTTCGGCTGGATCGAAAATGACGTATTCTTGTGCTACAGATAATGCTGTTATACATCCAATACGCAATTACCATTTTAGGATGCAAATATCGAGTTGTACGTGTATGACACAGCTTGATTTTACGTTATGTGTTCTACAAAATTAAATCAATTAAGCATATATCTATATATATAACACAGGAACATACTTAAAGCTATCTTCATTATACAAACACACACTGATCAGTTTGCTCTCAAATTATCTAATTCCCCTGTTTACTTCCTATACTTAAAATTCCACATTCATGGCGTATAATCTGATACGAGATATTTAGGAAACACAATACAGCGAAGTGCACACGTACAACGCCTAACACTTTCCTTGTATATCGTAATTCAATACTACTAAATGTACTAAAAGTACGCGACACGTTCATGAAATAGTAAATGCGAAATACACTAGTTGTGAAATATACAACATCGCATTTCTTCTTTCCACAACGTCACGGTATGCAAGGGTGTTGTTACACGCCATCACAGCTGATAGCTGTTTACGTAAATTACCGAAATGACCCGAGGTTGTTTGATGCGACACCATGTTATCTGCATGTCGATCGCCTGCATAGAAGGTGTGTTTTATTCTAAATACATTTTGAATGTTTAACCTTTTAAATCACACACGCTTAAGCAAAAGGTCTGAAATATTTCAACAGCTGTAAAATGCAGATAGACCGCAGGCATTTCATATAAAGCGGAAGTTTGGCGACCTTTACCTAACTATGCGTTTAATTCCGTTTGGCGGATATGAAGAATTGACATTTTGTTAATGTCGTTTAATTGTAATTTCGAGATAATTCCTATCTAACATTGCAGCTGATGACGTTGCAAGTATCGGCGGTGGAGATCAGATGACTGACGCAGCATGACGTGTATACACAATACAATTACCACTATAGAAACAAAAAATACATATCTACGCAGTATCCGTGTCATGTCTGCATGCACTGAGGTTCTTCAAATGTATTGATTTGATGTGGGGTATTCGGTGCAGTTGCTGTGTTTTGAAAAAGGCGTCGGGTTGATGTGAAGACTGATGGAATACTTTCAGATGAAGGATGCTGCGCCAACATGCTTCAGGGGCGGCATCCGTATTCTATACAGTCGGAGATTCACGGAGATTCACGGAGGAACTGAGGCCGGAACACATCCTATAGTCAGGCTTAATGTGAGACGGAATGAATGTGTGTGAGAAATGGGCTTCACACATTGTACGAGAGAGAGAGAGAGAGAGAGAGAGAGAGAGAGAGCACATATATATACATATATAGATAGACCTGATCAGTATAGTAACGTTTGGCAGCTTATCATTTAGGCATAGCATATAGCCTTACCAATCTTGCACAGCTATGCACACTTTTCGCCGCCTTCAGCAATATTCCAGCAATATCACGGCTTCACACATTGAGAGAGAGAGAGAGAGAGAGAGAGAGAGAGAGAGAGAGAGAGAGAGAGAGAGCACATACATATACATATATAGACATGATCAGTATAGTAACGTTTGGCAGCTTATCATTTAGGCATAGCATATAGCCTTACCAATCTTGCACAGCTATGCACACTTTTCGCCGCCTTCAGCAATATTCCAGCAATATCACGGCTTCACACATTGAGAGAGAGAGAGAGAGAGAGAGAGAGAGAGAGAGAGAGAGAGAGAGAGAGATTGAGAGAGTCATACATAATCAGTCAAAAACAGCAAATTGATTTATAATCAACACTGTTTATTCGATTACAAAACATGTATACGAATCGATGGACATAATCAGTATTGTGGCGTTTGGTAGCTTATCATTTAGTTATAGGACATAGCCCTACCAATATTGCAATATTGCTTCCAATATCTATACATGACAATATAATTAAAAAGACGTTGCGGTTCGGATAATTATGAAATACGTTTAAGAATGTCGACATACCTAGGTTTCAGTTACGTATATGTATTTATATATACGTTGTTTCTTATATTCAACGAAAACGAAAACGAAATTAAGATACGGAAACACGTCAGTGCTATTATTAGATCATTTATTCCGGGAAACTTGACCTGACTATTTACCTATGCCGACATGTTTGCATGCTTATTTCGCGTGGATCAAGTACTTTCATTCATAAAACTCCCCTCATGCAGGCGTAGAGTTATATTGTTGACAACAAACAACAAACAACGCTCATTCACAACGTTAACAATCCCTGCTTTAACATAAAGGTTTATTTTACAATAAAACACATTCCGATGCAGTAGAATAGGTCATCAGCAACACATGCCTGCCGTAAAAGGCGGCTATGCTTGTCCCAATTGTATGGATCGATGCTCATGATATTAATCACTGGATAGTCTGAGTATCTATCTATCTATCTATCTATCTCGCTCTCTATGTATGTATGTAAGTTTGTGTGTGTGTGTGTGTGTGTGTGTGTGTGTGTGTGTGTGTGTGTGTGTGTGTGTGTGTGTGTGTGCGCGCGCGTGTATTTTTGGGGAAATCGACATCAGCTTCATTGACATAATCATGACATAAATAATACACAAACGGATACATATCTAATAAGGATAACCTTTTACTGTTTAATCTATATAAAACAATTAAAGGATGGTATCTATAATTATTGATTGAACTATTCATGATATAAGCAAAGGTCAGACGTATATAAACCATTGTCTGTTGACATACAAAATTGGTTTTGATTGACTGGAATCCAATGAGCTAGTCACTTGCTCTGTAGGATCTAGAAATATTAAACAATGTCCGAATGGGCAAATACAAGATTTATTTCATTATAGCACATTATACGTTACCATACATGAAATACTAACTAACGAGTAACGTTATGTGATGACAATAAGAGCAAATTATTTTCAAATATCATTTGAAACAACTTGCATAGATGTACTGCTATATATGTACTGATTTTGTGAGAAAATACGTAGAGGATTTTTTATTTGTAAAAAATGTTTTTGTGTATATACGCATCGTAAACACTGTCCCTGTGGGTTAGGGTTTAATAAAGAAGGAATTATAAACAAGAACAAGCATATTAATGCCCCAAATTCTATGTCTCATTACATGAGCTGGAAGGACATCACCTAACAACAACAACCACTTAGCGTTAATCAAGACGTGTCAACGCTAATCCCGCTAGTGCTAACAGCAGATATGCCTATCAGAATTTGCATAATATATAATGGTAATTAGAAATGACAGTAATTAAAAAGTATGTGCACTAATTAGTTAACCTCTGTTTCACGGAGGCTTTGCTATTTTAAACAGGTGTGGGGGGTATTGTATTTCAGCGCAGAGTTAGTTTTTCCCGATGAATGGTAAGTAGGGTTATGTAATGAAATAAAAGTGTCACGTGCGCAATAAGAGACTTACTCAAGAATTAGTTTTAATCATTAATGTTTTTCTAGCTGGATCAAAATCACCGGAGCATGGAGTGAACATGGTGATGTCATCAGGATATACGTGTCATGACCTCTTAATGATATTTGTAGAAAAAGATTTTTATATTTAATATTTATTTTAATATTTTTTTTCACAATGAATACACGTGTATTGTAATGTGTCCCATAAGCCTTATAAGGCTGGATGTACAAGCTTTCATTTTGAACCCTTATCAATGTTCTTGTCGTAAGAGGCGACTAACGGGACCGGGTGGTCAGGCTCCGCGACTTGCTTGATGCATGTCATCGGTCCCAATTACGTAGATTGATGCTCATGATGTCAATCACAGGATTGTCTGGTCCAGACTCGATTATTTACAGACCTCCGTCATATAGCTGGAATATTGCTGAGTGCGGCGTTAACAAACAAACAAACAAAGCAAATATGAAATCTTGTTCGGGTTATTGAGTACGTGATCTACGTACCATTAGCCACATTTAGCTGGTCAGAATGAGTCTGGACAAAAATCTCGCGTCGTATAATGTGATATGAAACGGGAAAGTCAGACAGCCGTTGTTTCGGGGGAGCGCCGTAAATGATCATGACAATACGACCGGGCCCTGATTTTAACGTAGACGTCGATTCTTTTGACTCGGAACAATATGCCTCCCCCGCACTAAACCCTCGTCTTCCGAGAGCTGAGACAGAACACCTTCCGTGCACACCTTCCCAGCAGCGTTGTCGGCGGCGTCAACTTGCACAGCCGTCACGGCTCACAACGTGGGCGGTTTAACGAATCCTGCGCGAAATCGTCCAAGTCCTTGTAAGGTATCTGAAATTATGGACACGATTATATCAAATTATTATTACTTGGAAAATGGAACTTAATTTACGACTTATGGTTTTGTTATGACGAGGTCATGACACAGCACAATGATACCTTGAGAAGGCTTGAGGTAGACCTTATTTATTTATTTGTTAATTTTCTTTCTTTCTTTCTTTGTAATTTTCTTTTAGAGGTAAAACTTGAGACACATTTACGAATGAAAAACATATATATATACTAGTTACAACGTATATACAGATCTACACCAGCGTCGCTGTTTGAGCATACATATACAAAGTTATATATGTAGCTAATGGGTTTTTTTCATCTCCGTACTTGTAAATCTAAAAATATAATAGTTCTCCGTTTCCTTCGTTTGACAACAGGATCCGAGGAATGACAGCTGTACTTTTGCGTCCTCTTTCT